TTAAAGAAGCCTCGTCCGAGCTTCCGCTTGTACAAGCACTGACGCACCTGACTGTAATTGGCGCAAATGGCAACAGCATCCTCCGAAATCACATCCTCGGGCACGTCTCCAGCTACGAGAAGTACGCATTCGTCGTACATGCACCCGAAAGCCTAATCAAGACGTCGTCCTCCTCGTGGGACTCGGGCAAGGCAAACAAAGCCTGTTCCCTGAGAGTCCAATGAGAGTCAACATGATCAGACTCCTAGTCATCAGATCCGTCTTCGTCTTCTTGGTATCCGACGAAATGCGAGGCAGAACTCCTTCCATGAATACGACGGCCGCCTTTACCTGAGGGCAGTGGTCGTTCAAGCTTCCGAAGCTTCTCGCGCACCAGGTCCAAGTCATACGATCCCTCCGCCCAGTGCCCTACCGCATCCCAGGCGGCTTCACTGAGCTTGGAGCCTCCGAGAAACATGCACCCTTTTCAACTCCTCCGGTAGGATCACGCGCTTCCCGACTTCTCGGAAGAGCACTCGCTTGCGAACAAAATACTCGACCGGGGATTCGTCTCGCTTGCGCTTGGCGTCATCAGAATAGACAGGCATTTCAAAAGCTTTCGGCATCCTGCGGTCCTAGTATTCGGCGAAAGTCTTCTAGGTATGTTTGACCACAACCTGCCCGCTGTCCTCCGAAGACAGCTGGTCTTCGGTGAGTTCGTTGACGATAATATTGAGGTCGTCTCTGGCGTTGCGGGAAATGAAGAATCCACATTGTCTCTTCCGGGTTCTGGCAGCCGTGAGCCACGCATGCAGCTCCTTCATGGAGGGATCTGAATCAGTATCATGATATTTTCCATCCGAGGTGGGAAGTAAGTCATTTGGTATAGCTGGGGCCTCCGATTGTTCAAAAAATTGCCCCCTCTGGCGATCAGAAGATCTGGCAATGGCATATCCCCGATCAGTCGGCATGAACGGCGTAGCCTGTCCCAGCAAAGGCGTGTTCAACCGAGCTGATGCAGCCGGCGAACCACGGCCCCGCGCGTTCTAACTTGACGAGGATGACTGCGAACTGGGCTGTGTATGAACCAGCGGGCCCAGTCTTCACCTGACCACCCAATTTCGTCATCACCGCCCCAGGGAAATCATTCTCGCCCCCCGCCCCCTGCCCGAGGATCCTGTCCTGGCTGTACCCAAGGATCATCCGAAGATCGCCTTCGAGAGGCTGAGCGTCGACTGGACGGTCCATGGCGGCGCTCGGCACAAGAGGGCGGATGGCGGGGCGAAAGGAAAAATCATATGGATTATGACCCCAAGGTCGGGTGGCAGGGGAGTCAGCCTGACTCCCCTCGTGGATCGGAGCCACGCGCTCCGCTGCCACTGTGGAATGCACGGGAATAACTGTATGGAATACAATGAGACACAAAGAACGAGTGGGGGAGCCCGTGCTATCAGAGAGCACATTATCTTGCCTTTTACGAGGGCCAGGGCGAGCCCGTCGCCTGTGCGCCAGCGGCACACAAGAGAGGTGGGAGGGAGGCGAAAGAGGAGGAGAGGCTGACACATGCATGACAATCACACAGGCAGAAGCTGGAGAAGGGGGCGAGATAACAGGCAGAAGCAGAAGTTGGAGAAGGGTCGGTTCCAAAGGCGACGGCAATGACGCCGACAACAACGGCGACAAAAAGACTGAGGATGGGAAGGCGAGAAAGAGGAGGGTCCAGAGGAAGAGTAGAGGGAGGTAAGGAAGATCACAGGAAGAAGTTGGAGAAGGGAAAGAGAACGATGAGAAGGACGAAGGCGAATGAGGAGCATCCGGAGGCGAGGAATGTGGGAGGAGGAGGAGGAGGAGGAGGAGGTGGAGGAGGACGAGGAGGTGGAGGAGGACGAGGAGGAGGAGGAGGAGGTCCCGTGGCCCATGGTGGGGCGCCCGGGGCGGCGGACGTGGGGGGGGCTGCCCCGGGGGCGCGGGGCAGGGCACCGAGACCTTCCCCCCTGGAGCCCGTCGAGCTTGCTCCGCAGAGGCGCTCCCCCGTCGTCGCTCGCCGCCGTCGTCCTCCTCTCTGCGGCGACAGAGCCCCGCGGAGGGAAGCGAGAGGGGCCCAAAGGCTCGGAGGCCCCCCCGGCCTCCTGGGCCTCCTGAGGAGTTTTCTGGGCCTTCCCTTGGGTCGGGCATGTCCCCCATAAAGGTGGGTGCTGAAAGGAACATACAAAATAGTCAGAGCATACTCCAACATGGTCAAACAGAATCGACCAAAAATCGTTCCCCGATTCTTCTTTGACAATTTTTGAATATTCCTCCTATAGAGGGATATGCCCGACTTAAGCCTTCCCCAGAGACACAGGACACCTCTCGGAAGGCGCGAGGGCTGCTGAGGAGCCCCGCCGCCTTCTGAGAAGGCCTGCTCCTTCTCACTTCCCCCTCTGGCTCGCCGCCGATGATATCCTGCCCCAGTCGGGGTTGAGCGGTTCTGACGATGATGATGCCTGGAGAGGACTTCTGCGCGGACTTCCGAAACTGTATGTTCATGTATGCCCATGCTTGTTCATTGATGTCGGTCAGTCTGGTCTACCTGTCAGTCGGTCTCCCCCCCACTCATCCTGCCTTCCTCCTCCCGCCTTCCTTTCGCCTCCTTTTCTGAATTTCCTGAGCCTTCCCCGACGACACAGAACACCTCCCAGAAGGCTGCGGGGCTTCTGCGAAGTCCCGCCGCCTTCTGGAAGGACCTTCTCCTTCTCACTTCCCCCCCTGGCTCGCCGCCGACTTCATCCTACCCCAGTTGGGGCTGAGCGGTTCTGTTCCCAAAGTTTGTTATTGTGTGCCCATGCTTGTCCCTTGATGTCCGGCAGCCTGGTCCGTCTGTCGGTCGGTCTTCTCAGAAGGCCGGAGGGCTTCTGCGGAGTCCCGCCGCCTTCTGGGAAGGACCCTCGCCTTCTCGTTCCCCCCCCTCGCTCGCCGCCGAGCTCCGCTTCCTCTGGTCTCTCTCGCTCCGGGGAGTCCGCTCGCGGTTGGCCGCGGGCGCGAGGGCGCAGGCTGGCCAGGACCCCCTTTGCTCCCTGGAGGGCGTCCGTCGCAGAAGCGAAGACTGCATAACCATAAACTGTCGAAAGCAGATTGCATATACACGCAAGCTGCTGAACATCTTGCATACACACCACATAAAACACAAGACTTGCAGAATCAACAATCCCCAGTATCGACTCAAATGTTCGGCGCTCTGCGCGGATTCCATGGCAACGTCGACAACGGCAGGCGCGGCGATGGCAACAGGGATACCGGGGACGACGATGACGATGACGACGGCAAGAAAAATGACGGCGCGATGCTGATCACTCCGATGACGATGATGGTGTCCACGTCTCGGCGACGAAGGTTTCGGAAGGATTTCGACACGCGCGCGCGGCCGACACGGGCGAGCGGCCCGCCCGGAATTATTTGACATGGTTCTCCCCCCCAGCACGCGCGCAAGGGCGTTCGAATGATTTCGACATGCGCGCGCGAATGGCCCGTCTGGTCGAATCCGATGAGAATGCGGAAACCCGATGGCATTATTCAAATTCGCAGCAGACCGCGCAGACCTTTTCAAAAAGTGTTATCAAATCATGTGGTGCTTATATGCTTCAGGATGCTAAAACAACAGTTTTTGCATCAGGAGTACTGCATGCGCGCGCGACGACGCGCGCGTGTACCGTAGTCCCATCTGTTGCCAGGGAAGATTGATGAGTTGTGATAAACGAGTGAGCGCGCAGAGTATCACTTGACGGGCATGAGGGGGGTCGAATCATGCTCGGCTGGGATGGTATAAACTCATACCTGGAATGAACGATGGGGCAAAATCACGAACAAATTACACATCCCCTGGGTGAACGGATAACCCCAGATACCCGGGGAGGTACAGTCGGGGCGTTGACCTAAGGAACCCTAAATAAGGAACGGGGCCCCTTTGTTCCATAAGTCAAACTTGGATTTCCCATCGAAAACCTAAGGAAAATCTCAGGCAAGCTGTGAAACATGAAGGAACACGGAGCCCCTCCCCAACGAGAAGGGTTCCTTCTTCAGCGCCCCGACTGTAGATCCTAATTCTCTTTGGCGAACGAGAACCTACGTCGTGCAGTCTGGGCGGCGACGGGGCGGCGACGAAGCGGCGACTGCGAGCGCGGAGCCGCCAGACTGTCGCCCGGGCCCAGGCGAGGGGCGCCGACGAGGCGGCGGCGGGGCGGCGACGGTGAGCACGAAGCCGCCAGATCGACACCCAGGGTCCAGTTAAGAGGAGGAGGGGGAGGGGGAGGGGGAGGGAGGAGATGGAGGAGGGAGGAGGAGATGGAGGAGGGAGGAGGAGGAGGAGGAGGAGGAGGAGGAGGAGGAGGAAGAGGAGGAGGAGGAGGGGGAGGAGGACCGGTCGCCGGTGCATGCACTCTGTCTGGGGACTGTTGCCCAAAGCCGACAGGGGCCGCTGCCGGGCAGGCGCCCTTCGCGGCGGCGCCGACACCGGGCCCTGCTCAGAATAGGCGGGAACTGCTGTCGGCCTTCGCCCCCGATCTTCCCGTATCCATCCCGCTCGTCCCGAGGGGAGGGGAAGGAGGCAGCGCTGAAATGCTGAATCGGGATGCGATGAGTGGGGGGGGCAGAAAGGTGCACTTCTCGGGCCCCGAGGGCTGCCTTTTGGACCCTGCGGGGCCCCTCTTCTGCAGCCCTCGCTGCCCCTCCGTGCGTCGCGCCCCAGCACGCGACGCCCAAGAGCGAGGGAAACACCCTCCGCCCGCAGGCGCCCCCCCCCCCCCTTCCTCCTAGGGGGCCACATGCGAACCCTACCCCTACCCCCCACGATTTCTGAGGGGGAGGGTGGGGTTCACTTCGGCTCGGGAGCTCCTGCGAAGTGAACCCACCCCCCCCTCAGAAATTCGTGGGGGGGGTAGGGGTAGGGTTCGCATCTGGCCCCCCCCCCTCCCTCCCTGGCCCCACCCTCTGCGCCTCCTCGCGTCCACCCGCAGCCTGCCCCAGCGCCAGCAGCACCTCTGCGGGGCCCCGCGGGAGTCACCGCCGCGCGCAGGGCGGTGAGAGTTCTGCGTCGCCTGCGCTGCTGCTGCTGCTGCTGCTGCTGCTGCTGCTGCTGCTGCTGCTGCTGCTGCTGCTGCGGTTGCTGACGACGGGATGCCCCATGCCCTCGACGCCCCCCGGCTTCCGGCAGGAGGCCGAAAAACTAGCTGGGGGTGAAGAGGATACTGGCCCAAGACGAAGCAAGGACGAGGATAAGTTCGGGTCGAACTCAAAAGCTAGGCAAAACCCCACGACAGAGAGTGTGCGTCGCCAGGGGGTGAGGGGAACGCTGAAGGGGGACCAGCTCAGGGGGGGGAACTTGCTCTGGAATCCGTGATGCATCGCCGACAGAGCGGCGATTGGCCTCCGATAACGAAGTCGCATAGATGTGGTGATTCGGTCCCGGTCTGAAAGGAGTGGGAGATGAGGGGTCGACTCGTCACCCCCTGAGCCCATTCACCCCCCAACGGTGCCTCGACAGGACCGCGAGGGAGGGCTCTGACGCTTTTCCCACTCTCAGGTCTCCTGGAGGGCCCGCGCGGCCAAGGCTGGGCGCAGCCTGGAAAGCAGGTCTCATCTTTCCTCCTCTCCCTCCCCGGAGGATGAGAGGCAGAAGAGGATAGGAAGAAGAGGAGGAAATAGACGAGGACGAAGAAGAGAAGGAGAAGATAAGGAGGAGGAGGGAATAATAAGGAGGAGCAGGAGGTGGACGAGGAGGAGGAGGAGAGGAAGGAAGAAGGAGGAAGAGCAGGAGAAGGGGGATGAGCGGCAGCAGCAGCCAGAGGGGCACGGTCGCAGAACCCATGACGACGCCGCGACTCTGTTCACCAAGTGGACCCAAAGCTTCCGAACCCTTCCCCGGACCCAATTTGCATACCGAGCCGTTCTTGACGGGCCCGGGTCCTGGGCCAGCGATGGCAGGGAAAGGATCGCGCCGTGGCGCGGGGGAGAGCGCCCACCTTCGTCGTCGCCGTCTCGACATCCCGAATCTTCTTGAGCCACCCTTGACTGCCATGAAGCAGAAGGGTCCAGAGGGAAGCGGGCCCGGGGATCTTCAGCAGGACCGGCTTCTCATAGTGAGTCTGCCTGTTCAGGGTTCCAGGAATGGAAGGTGCCCCGAAGAGGCCGAAAACGGCTTTAAAAAAACCTCTGGACCCTTTCCAACACAACTCGGGACTTCCTTCTCCATGGCGATTCCGTCGGTGAAAGGGGAGGACAGACGGACAGACGGACGCAGCAGAGGGCGCGGGCACCTGGTCTCATTGTCCACGCTGCCGGTGGAGGCCCTGGAGGCCCTGCCGGGGACATCATCCGTCTCGGGCGCCTGGGCGTCGGAGCGCCCAGGCAGCCGCGGGGATGGAGGCTGAAGGGCGAGGGGGGTCTCCAGGTACTCCTCCTCCTCCTTCTCCTCCTCCTCCTCCTCCTCCTCCTCCTCCTCCTCCTCCTCCTCCTCCTCCTCCTCCTACTCCTACGCCTACTTCCTACTCCTACTCTTCTACTCCTACTCCTCTCCTCCTCCCCCCCCTCCTCCCCTCCTCCCCCCTCCTCCCCCTCCTCCCCCTCCTCCCCGCTCCTCCCCCTCCTCCCCCGCCTCCACCCCTCTCCTCCACAATTACTCAATATGAAATATACTATCCCTCTTCCCCTGATGGCGTCCGGGTGATGGCCGCGCACCCTCCGCGTACTGTTTTGTTACACACAGGATGCCCGGGAAATCCCGGGAAACGACTCTCGCTGAGGCGCCGGCGTCATTTTTTCCCAAAATGCTGCTCTCGTTGAGGCGCCGGCCTCATTTCTGCTCCCGAATCGTTCCGAATCGTGCTCCCGCTGCAGCGTGGGCCTCATTTTCGGATCGGTGTTTGGCCTCCGTCGTTCAGGATGGCGTTCTCGCCCCAGCGCGGGCCTTTTTCTCGCGCGCCCATCCGCCCGCCACCACCGCGCCGCACCGCCACCACCACCACCACCACCACCACCACAACCACACACCACCAGCACCAGCACCAGTACCAACACCACCACCACCTGGCACCACCACACCACCACAGCACCACCACCACCACCATCACCACACACCACCACCACCACCACCACTACCACCACCACCACCACCACGACAACCACGCACACACGCACGCACGCACGCACGTGCACCACCACCCACTACGCACGCGCGCGCGGAGCCACAGGTCCGCTACGACACGCGTCCGCGGATAGAGAAAATCAGCGCCATGGTAAGGGATGGGAGGGAGGGGTAGGACGTCAGATATGACGCGAGCGCACCTAGCTTGCCCTCCCCCTCCTCCTCCTCCTCCTCCTCCTCCTCCTCCTCCTCCTCCTCCTCCTCCTCCTCCTCCGATTCATCATCATCATCATTATTATTATTATTATTATTATTAGTATTATTATTGGTATTATTATTACTATTATTCTTATTATTATTAGTATTAGTATTAGTATTAGTATTATTATTATTGTTATTATTATTGTTATTGTTATTATTATTATTAATGTTATTATCATTATTACTATTATCATCATCATCATCATCATCATCATCATCATCATCATCATCATCATCATCATCATCATCATCATCACCATCATCTCATCATCATCATCACATCATCATCATCATCAGCATCAGCATCATCATCATCATCATCATCATCATCATCATCATAGCAGCATCATCATCATCATCAGCATCAGCATCAGCATCAGCATCATCATCATCATCATCATCATCATCAGCATCATCATCAGCATCATCATCATCATCATCATCATCAGCATCATCATCATCAGATCAGCATCATCATCACATCATCATCATCATCACCATCATCATCACCACCACAACCTCATCATCATCATCATCATCATCATCAGCATCATCAGCATCATCATCATCATCATCAGCAGCATCATCATCAGCATCATCACCATCATCAGCATCAGCAGCATCATCATCATCACCAGCAGCATCATCATCATCATCATCATCGTCATCATCATCAGCAGCATCATCATCATCATCATCAGCATCATCACCACCATCATCATCATCATCATCATCATCATGTTCATCATCATCATCATCATCATCGTCATCATCAGCATCGTCATCATAATAATCATCATCATTAGCATCATCATCATTGTCAGCATCATCATCATCATCAGCAGCATCATCAGCCTCATCATCATCATCAGCCGCAGCAGCATCATCATTATCATCATCATCATCAGCAGCATCATCATCATCATCATCAGCATCGTCATCGTCATCATCAGCAGCATCATCATCATCACCACCACAATCAGCATCATCATCATCAACACCATCAGCATCATCAGCATCATCGTCACCATCATCAGCAGCATCAGCATCAGCATCATCAACATCATCATCAACAGTATCAGCATCATTTTCATCATCATCATCATCAGCGTCATCATCATCAGCAGCATCATCATCAACATCGTCATCAGCATCATCATCATCAGCATCAGCATCATCAGCATCATCATCAGCATCATCAGCATCGTCAACATCATCATCAGCAGCATCATCCTCATCAGCATCATCAGCATCATCATCATCGTCATCATTCTCCTCCTCCTCCTCATTATCCTCATCCCTCCCCCTTCTCCTTATCCTCCTCCTCCTCATCATCATCCTCCACCACCACCAGCAACCTCCTCCTCCTCCTCCTCCTCGTCCTCTTCCTCCCTCCTCCTCCTCCTCCTCCTCCTCCTCGTCCTCCTCCTCCTCCTCCTCCTCGTCCTCCTCCTCGTCCTCCTCCTCCTCCTCCTCTTCCTCTTCCTCTTCCTCTTCCTCTTCCTCCTCCTCCTTTTCCTCCTCCGCCTCCTCAACCTCCTCCTCGTCCTCCTCCTTCTTCTGTCCCTCCCTCATTATCCCTCGTTCTCTCTTATCCATACTCCATCTTTCCTCCTCCATCACGTCTTCTCCCTCCTCCTCCACAACCTCTTGGCACCCACCCTTTCTCTCCTCCATCCTCCCTCCCCCCTCCCCCCCTCTATCAGAAAAAAGGGGACGGGGGTCTACGAGCGACCGCCTGGGGATCCGCGAAGATCTGGCGTATCATCTTGAAGAGTTCCATGTGCTGCCGCTGCACCTGTACGGGCGGGCCGCCCCTCCCCCTCGGCGGCCCGTGGGGGCTCCGAGCACTGGCGGGCGGCCCTGACCGTGGGACCAAAAGACGCAGGCTTCGCAGGGCCGCGAGGGGAACTCCACGTGGAATGTGCCGATTTTTGGGTGCCCACGAGTGCCCCTCGGCCTCCGGTGTGCGACGCTCCAAAAACTGGGAGCGAGCGATTTTCAGTTGTTTTCGGCCTCCGTGGGTCCCCGGGGCCGTCAAAAAAGACTTCGGGACTCGGGCCGAAAAAACCGGCCGTGGGGAAGTGGTCCAGGCCTCCGGGGCCCACGCAGCGGCGAAATGGACCGCCCGGATGTATGGGGCGGCATCTGCCGGCTCTGCGGCTGCCCACGGATGCCCCGGAGAACGGCGCTCGCGCTGGCAGGCGTCGGTTCCGCGGGGTTCGATTCGATTCGAGAATGCCGATCGCAGTCATGCTTCAGTCGTCGGACGTACGCGGGACTTGGGCCCCCACATAAACAAAAAAGAAGGAAGCACGCGCCTGGGAGCATTCGACAGATCACCCTCCCTCCTCCCACTGAACCTGCCACCGCCAGCGACCAGCTCGGAAATCGGCTCGCCAAAGAAAGCGTGCTGAGCACATTTGCGGGCCCTGCCGCGGCTCGCTACTCATGAGCGGGCCCTGCGCAGGACTCCTCGAGCCTGCTCGCTCATGATTATGAGCTCTGCCCTGGCCTTTGTGACTGGCACAGGCATCCTGAAACAACGGAATTATGCTTTATATTTGGCTCTCCCTTGGCCCTTGAAATTGTGGTTCAAGGCTGAACCCTGCTGGTCGAGGCATCGCTGTTCGCTGATCGAGAAGTGCCTAGCACGCTGCAAGACTACGTAGAGGTAACGGGGACTACTGATCGTGAGATGTCTGACGAGGCGCATGGGTATGAATCATGCACGATACGCACTTGCCGCCTTCAGCGAATGGGCGTACAATGCTCCGAAGGCCGTGCTTGGCGACCCGATGGCATACTAGCGCGCGCGGCGTGCTGAAAGCTGCTGCACCTTCATGACACTGAAAAGGGCATTCGACGCGAGGCACAGGACTTGGCTGATGGCTGACCTCACGTTCGCACACGATTCGCGCGCTGCTTCTTTACAGGATGCATCTCCTAGCTGCTGGCCACTGCCTGCAGAAGTCCTCTCGGACCTTGGTGTCGTCCACGCGGTCGGGCAGCTCCTGCGTTGCCGTCGGTGCACGCTGTAGCCATATGAAGTCTGTCACGATGAGAGCTGCCCATGGTTGCTCGTGACCGACCGTTGCCTGTAGTAATGCAAAGTATTCGTCGCGGCCGTGCCACCATAACCTGATCAAATGTCGCAATCGACGAACTCGTGTAATGTCCATTATGCTGAACCTCTGTGCCTTAGCCAAGACCTGATGATCCGCGTAGCGCTAGTCGTCGCCCTGCTTGATAGTCGTACCCGTCGCATCTCGGCATGCCAGCATGACCACTGTCCACCTTAGATAATGGCAGTTTATCTAGAGGTGGCCAAGTTGCTGCATTTTGTAGGGCAGCACTCATCAAGACTGTCGTTGATGGCCACTCTCGTTCCCGCGTCAAGCATGGGCTCGGCTAGAACCTGCTCGGGCACGCATCTAATCTCTGGACCAGGACACACTCGCGCACGACAAGTTCTGCCATGACAGTCCCAGCGTCTGTCTGAATGTCGCCCAAATAGGTATGATTCAGAGCTACGCGAACATTCACATCTCCTGGCACGTTCGCTTTCACTTTGCTGGTATCGCGGCTGGCCAGCCAGAATTCGCGTCGTGCTTTACTGCACCAGACCCTCTGAAATTCACGATCATTCCAGTCTGTCCCTACCTCCACATTGACCTTCGAGACGGCCGCGGTGAACTCGTCAATGAGTACCTGGGCGGGCTCGCCGTCTTGTCGTGCAGCGCACAGCACGGGGCACCAAGAGTCGCCCGCGCATATGATTTCCGCAAGGTCGATCTGCTCTTCGCCGCTCGCAGCGCACATTGTCCTATCCCCAAACCAATCAATATTCATTGCCATGTCCTCTCGACGCAGGATGCGTAGCATTTTCGTTGCGCGCTCTGCCATGAGAAGACCCAAAGAATATCTCAAGTTGGATACCTCGTCGCGAAGGCGCAGTTGGCATGGGAAACGTCATTTGGACCGGCCGATGTAAGCCATGTCTCCGCATGCGCCTCTGCCACAACCAAAGCCAAGTGATGGTTGACGCCTTTGCTGCGCATGATGTATAGCTGCTGTGGTTGGTCTGCAAGGCGAGTGCATGAATTCGGTCGAAGTTCAAGTCGTTGCAACAGCGCAGGCATGGCCTCGTCGCTGGCGCCCGAATCCACGACGAGTTCGCGCAGCACGCTACAAGGGCGCCGGCAATGTTCATGAATACCTGAGCGGCACTCAGCCTTCGCACCGCAGCACACTGGTCCAGCAGCCTCGCGACGCGCACTGCAAAGTCGACCCTCCTACGCCTGCTAATTGCGGTCTCGGGGCATACGCTTCGCACTTAGGCAATAGCTTCGACCTAACCATAACGTGGCCTGCTTTGGAAATCACATCGCAGAGTAGCGTAATTCCGCCAGACTTCGCGCAGCGTGGCGGCCTCCCAGCCCAGCGCAATCTAGAGAATGATCCACCTTTCAAGTGCAGGGTAACGGCTAGCCGCAGTCACATTTCAATTGCCAGAAGATGTATGATCTGGGCGATCATGGACGGCGCTGCCTTGAACAATTCTGCCGGCAAGCCGTCCAGCCCAGGTACTTTCCCAGATTTGCTCCACGCGAAAAACTGCTCCTGGTCCCTAGGAGCTCTCAATACGTCGATGTTAAGCTGGCCGTCGTGCTGCTTTTTGGTTGCCACGTGGTTGGAATACGCTTCAATCACGGCGCCCATGCCGACGATTCCTTCAAACTCCTGCTCCGCGAAGTGCTTGTGCCACAAGTCCGCGATCTCCTTCGCGGTAGCTGCTGCACCGTCTGTCCCTCGGGGCACGGCGGTAGGATGGCTGAAACTGCGATTTGTTTCTCCTTGGCTGGTGATTCGAAGCCTCTTAGCATGCGCTATACTGCGTCGCGTTCTCTGCTTCTCTGCTTCCCCACCTGGATTGCATATGGCCTGCAGCACCCTGCGCGCGCCCACTCTTGTCGAGCGCCTAAGACCGCTGTAGGCAATACGATGTTTCTGCGATGAAACACTCGTCGCGGCAGCATGTCCAGGATGTCCGCGAATTCAGAGACAACCTCGACGCCTAGGGCAGCGCTTTCCGTCGTTTAAGTGGTAATTTGTAAAGCGCTATGATTGCTGTGCCGCCCGATGCATCCGCGCGCATGTCCTTCCTTCCGGTCTCGCGAGCCCGCTGTAGCTGCTCGGCTGCATGGGTTGTTCCCGCCACCAGGATGATCAAGAGGAAGTGCAAGGCCGAATTCTTGGCGCCCTCGATGTCGCGGTTGTCCTCTTTCTGGTGCTTCCAGGCCTCGAAAATGATGATGCTGATGAGCTTCTTGACGCCGCGCGCTACGTTCTTGACAGAGTTGCGCGTGTCCGACCGAGCAGAAATAAAGTACGCCTTGCGGCCTGATACACAGCGTTGCCGTCGGTCGGGGGTTGCCTCGCAGAAATGCTGCCGCTGCTGCCCGGTAGATCTGAGCGCGGATGCCGTCGCAGTGCTCGGCGACCCCGTCCTTCCTAGTCGGCAATGAGTTCTGACTGATCATGCTGGCGGGGCTGTAAATAATATCGGGGCCCCTTGGTCCGCTCGGGCCCACCTTGGCGCATCCGCATATGGTTGAATCCTCTTCCCAGTCGAAGCTCACTTCCAATGTCAACGTGATCACGTCGTGGTCAACGCGCGCCATCGCGAGGTCTGCAGAGTGGCCTACACCTGTCTTCGTCACGACGTGCGACCATGCCTGCGGGATGATTACATGGTATATGCGAGTCTTGTCATGGCCGCTCAATTGCCCAACGAACGTCGATAATACCATGCACCCTTCGTTGAGCATGATTTCGTGTAGTGCTGATCCCTCTGGTGGCTCTGTCCCTGGTTGTCTCGGTCCCACCGCTGCTATCGCCATGCTACCGAGGGCCCCGCTGGCGTCGAACAGCGCGGTGGTTGGCCTGACGCGGTGACATCCAGGGATCTATTTCCACGGGACCCTGCGCGGTGGATCCGCGGGCCCTTCCACGGCGCGGTGACATCTTGGGATCTATTTCCACCATGCCGACCGCGCAGGCGCATTGGCCCGTTGGCGAGGTGCGCGGGCGACCAGAACTTGCGCTCGAAGCCCTTCCGCTGCGACGTTCTCGAAGAGTCCAGCGCGGCCGCGGGCGCGGACCGCGAAATCTTCCTGCTCGAAATACAGAGTGCCATCGCCCGGCTTCGCGTAACGCTCTGATGCACGCCCACAGCTGGCAGCCTCCGTCGCCGCTCTTGACGGCTGCACTGATGACGCGAAACGTCGGGGCCCCTGTGACGCTGACGTTCGCGATCGATTGGAATTGCATTCTGGCCTTGCACTTCCAAAACATCGCACGGCTCCTTTGCCGAAAACTCCGCCAGCAACGTCGGTCTCGCGACCCGCTGCACCGCGGGCTCGCTCGCGGCATTCGCCATGGAGAGAATGCCGAGATCATCCAACGTGATGCACGCGGTGATCCTGTCGGTGGGCATGAGTGCTGCGTCGTTATGCTTCTCGATGGTGATCGCGCTGACAACTGCGAACACGCCACCCATGTTGCCGTCGGTTTGGTCAAACAAGAAATATCCGTCAACCAGGCGCGGGCATTGCGCGAGCATCTACACGTCTGCGGCTCGCAACCACGCCCAGTCGACGCCCCTTTCAACCGCTGCGGGGGACGCCATCGGGAGCTGGATGTTGCTGACGATGCCCCAGTTTGGAGAGTGGCCTGCTAAAGTATCCACTGCGTCATTCCATGCGCGCCGTGAGCGTGTTTTTCCGCGTCGCCATC